CCCCCCAATAAAAAATCCATCAACAGCAATCCACCATTTCCTCTTGTCTGCCTGTCCCTGAAATACATATGTGGCAGACAGAGGCCTGGGCTGCACATCTTCATCCACCAGGTAAATGATGAAATGTAAATGAAGGCTCCAATGAACAGTCAGTGAGGCTGCTTATCCAGAGTGAAGCACAAATGATGAGCCACAATTTTCTTCGAGTCATGCTAAAATAGCTATTCCTCAAGACCAGAATAAGACTAAGTGAAAACAAGGGGCAGACTGCACCAAAATGCGCACCTACAAGTCAAAAAGTCCACGTGAGGTAAATTTCTGAGGCCTATTTGTAGAACAACTATTCGTAAACATCTGCAAGAAAGTGCAATCCTCTTAAGGTGTTAGACAAGTTAGTGATTCCTGACTTGGCATGAGGGGTTTTAAGGATTTTCAATCATGAACAGTGCTGAATGCAGCAGCAAAATTCTTATCCCATACAGCAAGACACATGACAGACAGCAAATGCAGGGAAGAAGCCAATACTTCCTTTCCATAGATCTTTCCTCATTCACTGGGCTGTTGCAATCTTATAAAGAAAAAGTCAAGCACATTTGAGAGCTACACACTCAAATAAGGTAACTTTCAAAACTACACACACCCAAAAAATATAATTCAAAACTGCACGCAGCGAAAAAATATAAATAGGTCTAAAATCTTTTAGGAAAGGACACTTAAAGCACTGCGCAAACTTATGTAAAGTGGGGCAAGTGAAAGTGTGTTAATTTTTTTTGTTTTGTTTCTGGAGCAGCTATAACAATGGCGGTACAACAAACTCAAGTCTGTGTAGTTCACTTGGTCTTGGACAGCCTTATAAAGAATGACAGATGTGATGACTGAAATCTAAAAGTAATTTTTTTTTAAACCCCGGACATAACACAGTGGAACTTTTCAATCGAATTAGGTACATTTCTAGAAACAAAATATTTCTGACAGCCCACCCTCACCCTGAAACAGAGCCGAATACAATTACCTTTAGCTTTGTGTGTCTGGCTGGGTGGGGGCAAAATGACAGACAAAAAGAAAGAAAACAAAGACAAGGCAATCTAGTGGTGACGTATGGCAGTGTCAACAACAAAGGACAGAAACATGTCTTGCTTTGAAGCCTCCTCCATCCTCCCCTCCCTGTTCCAAAAACACACCACACATAAACAAAGAAAAGAACAGGAGATCAGGAAAGAACATGCAACACCTGACAATAAGACCCAATCCAACAACACATGCTTTTTCATGTCTCTCCACACCCTAGGCATCAACAGTCTGTCTCTTATAAAACCATTATAAGTTCACTTTGGGGGGCAGCGGCGCGCACTCCTGCGCAAGGAGACAAATGACACACATGGGACATGCGTATGCAAAAACTATGATCTTTATATTTATATCGATAGCATATTGAAACTAGAAACAGTATGAGTCACAACGCTGCATAATAAAGAGAATGGAATAAATTGCCATGAATGGGCTAGGTTTTGTATAGACAAACTAAATGCTTTGACCACAAGAGAGGAACAATTGAAAACAACTTAGCGATTGACCCACTTGGCAGAGTTCATAACAAACACCACCTGTACGAGTGCTCATAGCTTGTTATTTCACTGCCCGCTAGTCCTAGCACACCATTCTCTATTCCTTCACTACAACGTCAAAAAATCCTGTGTTATTTACAGCATCATATCAGTTGTTCTGGCTGGATCTATTAATTAACCGATGCACTTCAAGTCAGCACTGCAACTGAAATTTCTAGTTTATTTCATGTATTGTTCAGGCATTGAAGAAAGCTTCTTCGCATGCTCAAAGTAAGGTTAAACAGCTTAGAAAAGTTTATTGCTCTTAGCTCAAACCGGGTTTGTAGGCCAAATTCTGTTTGAAGAACTAGTTCTTTCACATGCAAATTATACAGCAAAAAACCCCTGCGCTATGTGGTAAAACTGGGCTCTTGAGTGGACCAGGTTTTTGCAGTTTGTTCTTAGGCAGAGACCAGTAACTTTCCCATTTAATTAAAGGACCATATATTTTGGCTGACAGTTTTTATCTTTTTAACTAAGAACTTTAAGTTTTAGCAGAAGAGATGCATGAACTATTTGTAAAAAGCTTTTCTAACCTGCATTTTTTCTCCAAATAAAAATAAATCATGACTACAAACACTACTCTAATGGGTCAAGTGTAACCGCAACAGCGTACATATATGTATGTGAATATCCAGCAGCACAACATGTACAGAGTGGTGATGATGATCACTACCATTAAAGCATGTCGTTTCCCTTTTGTCAGCGTCATATAGACAGCCACATTTCGCATAAGAAGGGATTAAAATGATTGTAACATTAAGATAGTAGAGGACACAGTGCACATCAGAGATACATAAAGAATGGCGTTCCATCCCCCACAGCAATGCATCACAAAATGAGAGAGTGAGACAGAACCAGACAGAAAGAAAGAGACAGGGAAAGAGAGAGCAGGGGGAAGAGGAAGCTGCACAAGACAGATATACCTGAAAAGGGGCGAGAGGAGATGATATAAAAAACAAGAAAGACAAGAGTAACATACATGAGACATCCAGGTAATATGTTGGCTAATATTAAACTCACACCTGCCTTAACTATAAAAATTTTATCTGCTTTCCTTACAAAGTATTACAGAATACAATGAAATTACTTTATTAACTCGTAAACAACTAACAGCATCAATATTTGAAATTCAACATACTTTTGTAACCATGTTTACCCAAGACAGTTTCCTAAAATAAATCAAATATGTTATGTTCATCACAAGTTTCAGTCCTGTCAGCAGAAAAACATATAATTGAGTTGACACAAACGGTGGGAGAGAAAAGTCAAGGTGAACATCAAGCCCCAGATATCCACCCATCACCAAACTGACTAGGCCACAGACCAACACAACCCCCCCCCCGCACACCATTGCTGACAAAACAGGCCTCAATCTTTACTCTGGGTGGCAATCAGCTTTTGGTTTGACACTGTGATTCGAAACACACAGCCACAGATCTTCGGTAAAGACTGATCCAATCACAAGCAACATACCACAAAAACAAACAATAATGGGACTCTGTCTTTTCTCCCCACAGAGTCCTCAATGAATGAAAAACCACTAACAGATGGGTTATTGCAGTTGGCACGTGCAGCAGAACCTATGACCACAAGTTATAGCCATAGTAAGTTTTTATGGAACCATTATCCTGAGAGAGACCACACTTCTTCCGTGGCTGTACTCCATCCATGTTACAGTCTCCAACTCAGAAAACACACGACATGCCACAAACTTTTCACTGAGAAAACCTGGGACTTTGCAGCATATTTCCGTTGCCACTCACTACCTGCTGATGTCACAACAAGCCAACACCTAGACCTGAAAGGTGCTGAAGTAACCCCGGATCCACAGATTCCTGTACTCCAGAGAAAAGCAGGACGACTGAAAGGCTCACAGAAGTGGATGGGTCGAGAATGAAGCACGTAGTGAAGTCAAATGTGGAAGACTTACAAGCAGCTAGGCACCCAACTGCTTCTCCCAAAGACTGGATCACTGAGATGAATAATGGCCATGTCTAAGGTCTCACTTCACTCAGGTCTCCAGTCATGAAAGACAACCCGACTATTGTTGACATCTTACTTTTTCTTACATGTCTGAACACCCCTTCAGGCAACAGAGTTGGCAGCTGGGGAAAAGAAAAATCCTTTGTAACAAATATCTTGCAAACTACTTTTTTTTAAAACAACATCATTTATAATATCAAACAATTTATTCATCTAACAATTTTACCATCTATCATTATCATATTAGACAAGTAGACAACATAGTGACAAAGGATACATCCACAATAAGCTGTGACAAAGGTGAAATTAATTTCTTTCAGTTTTGAGTTAATTACCCCCTCTAAAAAAAATCCCCTGCTCAATTCTTCATCTTTTCCTAACTCAGACCACGGCAATTTCTATAACATAACTTGGAAACTTAATGCATTTGTAAAATTTTATGACTTAGTAGAAGGCTAACCATTAAAGAATACCATATGGTGGGTCTGCGCCCTTCTGAAGCATGGTGATATGACCTGGAGTCCTTAAAAAAGAAAAGTGATTGTTTTTCTAAGAAGTTCACTTTGTGAGAGAAACAAATGCCGGAACTATTCTAGAAATACAATTTCATAAATACAGTTCACTTAGAAAAAATTATTTCATGCAATCGTGGGAATGGTAATTGACCAATGACAGAAATTTTTAACCTTACACTGTGCATTCCACAAGAATAGATCTCCTGAATGAAACATTAATTTAGGGCAGCCCATCTACCAGCATATGCCTCAGTAATCAACTCAACAAATAGGAAATTTGTAATCTGGTTTCAAAAATTTTTAATATAGCAATGGATAGTCCACTTCCCTGGGATGTAAGGAACAAGAGTTGTAGTCAAGCAAGTATAAATGTAATGTAAACAATGGCATGATTAAAAGAGGCCTCGCCAGGCTCATCGTTGTTGAGTCCAGGAAAAAAAAGGGAGTTACTTCTTGTAAAAACGAAACAATTTTTTTGGAACTACAGAATATGTCACAAACCTTTGACCCTGATTGTGCATAATACCATGCCATGCATCTGCTGTAGCTAATTATTTAAAGTTTCAACAAAGATCCATTAAAAAAATTCTCTCAATGGCCCGGGCTGTCACGCAAACACAAAAGGGCAGGAATTTTCTACCACCTTGTCAACCTAATGTTTATATTGTTCCAAGGGCAAAGTGGCACAGCGACTACAAGGGCTCAAAGCTAAGAAGATATTCAAGTCAGAAAGCAACATAGTGACGTAGACTCTCTGGGCCTGGTAGTTTTTCTACCCTTATTCTTATTCACCAGTTGGGATAGCCGAAATTTAACAACTAGAATGAGGGGTAATACAATAGTTTTTAGTAAAATTCAATAAAAAATTATAATTCCGCCCAATTCTTAAAGATGGGCAGTCCTGTATTCTATCCAAAGATTGAAAGATAATATTTATAAACTCTCATCAAAATTAACAAGTCATTAAGATGAAGCAGAAATTGTGATAATGCAGAACCCTTCTGGTAAATGTAGTAGTAGTAGTAGTAGTATAAGGTTTTACGGCGCTCGCAACTGCTAAGGTCATATGAGCGCGCGAAACACAAGTTGTTCACCTCTGCGAAAGTT